CCGATAAGTGATTCATTCACTATACATCACAACTTTTTTTAAGTGAACAGGCTTGGATTTAAAAAACTGTCATATACATTGCATTAACATTATCTTTTACAAAATGATTTGTTTTACTTGTGAGTAAGCACTTGACATCAGGAGAGTTCCAACAGTGGAAAGTTCGATCGAGATAAGATGCGGAACGCCTGAGTACTCCGTTGAGCAGGGGCAAGGCATATCAAATGATCATCAAAGGAGTCCGCCATTTCCTAAGGTCCGTTAATCTGGGGCAATCAGGTCGAGATTAAGTAAATCTCTCGAAGTCAAAGGCACTTCTCCAATTCAGCCAATCAGGGGCAAAATCACTTCAAAGCTGGGGGCAGGCCACCCCAGGAGCACGACAACTATCCTTATCCAGAAAGGAAATTGACTTGAAGCACTTTTTTGGGGTTCGAAGCGCTGAGGCAGTTCATATCTAACCATCAAGTCCCACAAGCTGGGGTAAAATTGGAAACAAAAGAGATGTGTTCCTCTCCATATCTTCAGAGCTTATCAGAATTATAGAAGCAGATTTGGGTTTATTTCCCCAGCAGTAGGGCGAGTGCAGTACTGTTATCCCCACAGAGTCTAAATGGTTGACTTCTTTCCCCTCAGAGTCTAGGTCATTGACTCATTCCTCAAACGGAAGTATTGTTGAAGCTTACTTCTCATTTTCCCCAAGCAGAGATTGATGTTGATTCCCTCCTTATCTAATCTCCAGCCAAGTCAGCGGAGTTAATTTCCTTCCCCACAGAGTGGAACTGACTCAGAGATTGTTTATCTCCATCCCCAGCAGAGATAGTTTGGGATAAGCTCCCAGTAAGTCTTATTCAAAATCCCTAGCAGATAGGGGATTCAATCTCCGACAGAATGGAGCTATTCCTCAGCAATCTGCTGTGTTTCCCCAGTAGAGTCATTCTGGCTAATCATTCATAGCTGATTTCCCCGGTAGAGTGGAGTTGTTGCCTCCAGCCAAGTTGCTTGATCCCCATAAGAGTTGTAGGCTGATAGGCCATCCGGGACGTTCACTGCAACAGAGTTTGATTTGGATCCCCAGCGGAGTGGTTTTGTTCTTAACGGAGCAGTTTTACCCAGAAGTTTTCTCGGAGGCCATCCACGGCTTGCATTCCCTAGCATGAGTTTATTTGCGCTAGGCGTATCTAGCTCTGACTCAACGGAGTTGGCTCTTTCTCTTTAGCATTTATTTTGCTAAAGTGGTTCATTTGCATCTACATACATGCATAGCATCTACCCGAACGCGAAGCATTCCCATTTCGTATGGAGCATTTCGTCATATCCAAACATATGCATGTGAAACATAAGCTGAGTCGTTACCCTTTTGTTTCAAGTGAGTCCCGCAGATGACTAGTATCTTCGCCCGTGTGTTGGCTAGACCCCAGCTCATGTTGTCTCCCCAGCGGATTTCTTTTGTGATTGTCACCAAAGGATGGTCTTAAATTCGTTCGAATCTCGTTGCTCGCTTATATTTAGCGAAGGTTTGACGGCGATGTCAATAATCTGATTTTTTTTCAGCGGTGATGCTGAATGTTTATTTTGACGGCGATGTCAAGTGATTTGATTCTTCAACGGCGATGTTGAGAAGTTAGTTTTGACGATGATGTCAAGTGGTTTAGATCTTCGACGGCGATGTTGAAGGTTTGTTCTGACGGCGATGTCAGATGGTTTAGTTTTTCAGCGGCGATGTTGAAAGTTTGTTTTGACGGCGATGTCAAAAGTAATTGTACTCTTCAGCGGCAATGTTGAATGTTTGTTACTGGCGGCGATGTCAGAGTGATTTGTTTGTTCAGCGGCGAGGTTGGATGTTTGTTAATGGCGGCGATGTCAGAGTGATTTGTTTGTTCAGCGGCGAGGTTGGATGTTTGTTTCTGGCGGCGATGTCAGAGTGATTTGTTTGTTCAGCGGCGAGGTTGAATGTTTGTTTCTGGCGGCGATGTCAGAGTGATTTGCTTGTTCAGCGGCGAGGTTGGATGTTTGTTTCTGGCGGCGATGTCAGAGTGATTTGTTTGTTCAGCGGCGAGGTTGGATGTTTGTTTCTGGCGGCGATGTCAGAGTGATTTGTTTGTTCAGCGGCGAGGTTGGATGTTTGTTTCTGGCGGCGATGTCAGAGTGATTTGTTTGTTCAGCGGCGAGGTTGGATGTTTGTTTCTGGCGGCGATGTCAGAGTGATTTGTTTGTTCAGCGGCGAGGTTGGATGTTTGTTTCTGGCGGCGATGTCAGAGTGATTTGTTTGTTCAGCGGCGAGGTTGGATGTTTGTTTCTGGCGGCGATGTCAGGTAATTTGGTTCTTCCAACGGCGATGTTGGATGTTGTCTTGACGGCGATGTCGGAGGATCGTATCTTTGGATTCAATATCTGTTTGTATTTAACAGAGGACTGACGGCGAGGTTAGATCTTTTTACCGACTTAATGTCGAGGCCTGACCGTGAGGTCAGATGCTTTTACCGATTATTTTAAGAATTGACGGCGAAGTCAAAACTTTTGGAAATGACGGCGAAGTCAGAAGATTGTTTTAAGAGATGACGGCGAAGTCAGGGGCTTTACCAAAGTCCTGTGAAAAAATTGACGGCGAAGTCAGAAAATATTGAAGACCGACGATAAAGTCAGTTGATTTATAATTTTGACGCTGAGATCTGACAGCGAGGTTAGATGCTGTTAAAGGAGCTGACTGCGAGGTCAGACGTTCTACTTAATATGGGTGCCTGGCGGCAATGTCAGAAGTTCGTATCGCGGTTGTCAAATTTCCGGGTCCTTGGGTATTCAACCGTCTTTTACCTTGATTGTATGAAAGTCGCTTACCTTTCATCCCTTCAGGTCTAAGTCGCTTGAATAGGGGCAGCTGTTGTACCCCAAAATTTGACCGACCTCTCTGGCTTATGTTTTATTTCATTGCATCAGCACATACGTAAGCATTGCATTGCATAGCATTTTGCATTTCATAGGGGATCAAGAAATGTGTGTCTAACAAAAAATTACCAATGGTTTTTAACCTGATCAAGGAGGTTATATTCAAGTCACCAAGTGGTTACCCTTATCAGAGACAAGTCAAGGTCCTTAAAGACAAACAGATAAGCATATGTGATTGTCAGGGGCAGAAAAATAAAAAATATGTTGTTTCCACTCATCATCTAATTTTATGTAAGGTTGAAATACTCGCGTATAGGGTATATGCCTGAGGATCCAATTAAGGTTTCTACTTATGCGAGTTGTCAGGTGGCGCTAAATTCAGACGATTCATGGCTGAGAAATCACCAAAGATCAGTTCATTTTCAGTTAGATCCTTGGGCTCTATAGTTCACATCTCAGGCCATTATCTTTTGATTTAGAGACACTTATTGCTCATTTGGTTCCTGGTGAAGGGGTTATTTACATCAGTGCACGCAACAAAGTTTGGAAATTGATTCAGTGATGGACTCATGTCAATATAAGATTCTATTTCATTTCAACTTTTGAGGTATTTCGGGCATAAATCAAAAGTGTGAGAGGTGGAGGTGCAAAGAAAAGTGTACACAGGCCCAATAGCATTTTGTTCAAAGTCATTGAATTTATGATGAGGATCCAAATTACCCAAATTTTATTCATAAAAAAAACACACATACAATTATAGCCTGTGTCATTACAAGAGCCCACTTCAATTAGCATTTGATAGAATGCAACACTTTATAAATAAGTTCACAGAAAAAAGAGAAAAAAGGGGGGTCCATTTAAGGTTGGCGGAGTAATTTGAAGAAGAAAAGCCCACGAGCAGGGAGTTGGAATAGCACCAATAGTTGGAATAGCACCAATTCATCAACGTTTCTCTGCAAACCGTGCCACCTCAGTCCCACAATTCCTCAAATTCTGCACAAGCCAGATATCTTCCAGGAATGCCATCAAATAAGGTAGCCATCATCATTTTTTCTTTCACATAACCTGCATAAAAGTCCAGCCAAGATAACAATTAATCCACCATTACAAAGTAAAAGGAATGAACATGACCAACACCGTCACCAACCTCCCGCAACCTCTCTTCGCGCACTGCCGCCATGGCTGATGAGGAACTTGTTGATCAGAAGATATTTATTGAAGAGTCTTGCAAACCAAAATGTGTGAGACCGTTACTTGAATATCAGGCATGCATAAAAAGGATAAATGGTGATGATTCTGGGCAGAAACACTGCACTGGACAATATTTTGATTATTGGTACTGTGTTGACAAATGTGTTGCACCAAAGCTATTCACACAACTGAAATAATGGGGGAGAAGATTTTGGTTTTAAAAGGTTTTTCCGTTTTGCCTTCATTCTCCAACAATCATCATGCTGTAACGAACTTTGCAGCCTCCGACCGGTGCCGTTCGCATACCCCCCTGCAAATCAAAAGAAAAAGAAATAAGACAAACAACAATGTTTTTGAAGTTTCATTGGTGATGATGGGATTCACAGGATACTTGACCCCCAGAACAGGAACTCTGAAATATCTCAAATTTCTTTCTTCGCAAGGAAATGGCATCACTGGTGACGCACCAAGAGAATTCGGAAACCTGACAAGCTTGATCAGGTTGGATTTGGAGAACAACAAATTAACTGGTGAAATACTGTCTTCTCTTGGTAATCTTAAAAAGCTCCAATTCTTGACATTGGGTCTAAACAATCTCACTAGGACTATTCCTGAATCCCTTGCCAGTATTTCAAGCTTGACCGAAATTCAGCTGGATTCGAATAATCTCAGTGGCCAAATTCTGCAGAAGTTATTTGAAGTTTCTAAATACAATTTCAGTGGAAATAATTTGAATAGTGGTGTGAGTTATGGTCAACCTTGCACATATAATAATTCAAATCAAGGTTTATCACACAAGCTACACAGCCACTCATTACCTGCAGGATGAAGCACAAGAACACCTTCCTACTTTCTTCTTCTAACGCTACTGTTCAACAAAAATACGACATTGTTTTATCTCTATAATAATAATCACTTCCCAAATGGCGTCGCCGTCGCCGTCAACCACTACGGCGACTACAATGACGTCGTTTCTATCACCGACACAAAGGTATGCTGCCGCCGCATTATTCGGACTATCCCTTCACGAATCCCAAGTCAACCAGACTCGCATTCTACCCTTACCAGCTTCGGATGACTCCATCTCCAACACCTATCGAATCAGTAGTAGTAGCTCTAGCAGTATTGATTCTGTGTCTGATGATCCTGATCTCTGGGTTCACCATCACTCCGGTTTACTCCAACCCATTTTCAAGTTTCTAGATATTGATTCATCTGCGTGGTATGGATTAGAAGAAACTGCTGGTTCTTCTTCTGCTACACATCATGTTGGACCATATATGAGACTGCTTTCACAAGAATTTGATGAGGGTTCTGCTGAATCTTCTCAAAGGCTAGACCAAGAACTTGCATTGTCAAAAGCTGTTGATGCTATAGTACTTGAGTTGGAAAAGAATTTGCAGACTTCCAACTCTAAAAGAGAGAGGCTTAATGAGTACCAGCATCAGTGTCGCGAAAAATTTTCGGCACCGGATGTTCAATCTAATTCCGAAAAGGCAGATGTAAACTTTGAAACTCAGGATGAGACTGATGTTACCCCTTTAATCAACTTTGAAGACATAGACCAGGGGTCTAGTAATAGTAAAATTGAAGAGAGACCTGCAACATTTACACAAGAAAAAGCAAAACGATTACAAAGACTGCTAATTGAGAAAGACAAAAGGGGCAGTCTGCAACACACAACAAACCGTACCGCCAGACAATACCTGCAAAACAAAACATCCAGCCCACACACCTGCAGAAATCGTACCATGCCTGCTACAAATTCACTCCACACCAGACCAACAAACAAAATCCTGCACCTGAAAATGACTTGACATCAATAATAAGACAATTTTGAAAAGAAACTTAAAAGAGGAAGAAAAACAGCAAAAAGGGGAGGGAGAAAAAATCAAAAGAAGGTTGATGGTCTCGTTCAGAATATGAATTCACTGTGCCCTTGTTCCTCAGCCTCAACCTTGAGTCCATTTACCACATACAAACACACTTTCCTCTGATAAACCATATTCTCAAGCATCATTCTTCAACCATCTTCCATAACCCTTAAACTTCACCTCAAACCTCCATTAAAACCTCCTTCAAAAACATCTTCCTACAACCATCACTTGCATCATCTCATTCGACATCAAACTCACTACCGGAGCTTCATCACCATTCGAACTGCCAAAAAATCAAACTTTTTCGAATCTGCAGCCGCCACCCTTGCTCCATCATCCATCCTCACCAACTCGGTTTTCGGCCTTCCTTCGTTCCAACCATGAAACCACTCACAATAACCTTACTTTTTGTCAGCTAAGATCTGTTTCATGATATCACAATAACACACTTGTTGTAGCAGCTCTCACAATCACTATCATATTCGTGAACCTCAAAAAACCACAACAGAACTCGTACCAACAACTGTTGCCACCCCAAAACTCAGACCTGCTACTGTTTGGTCAAAAGGTCACTCCAACTTGCGATTTTTTTTCCGTTCAACCATGTTTTTGTTTCTGCAAACAACACATAACACATTTCCTCATCTTTAAAAAACACGCCTACAACTTTGCCCCCACCATACTCCACAAATCTTCATCTTCCTATCCAAACTCATTCAACCGCAACCATCGTGAATCCGTTCATGTAGTCAGCTTACTACCGCAAGCTCTATTTGTGACGCAAAGTTCAATCGCAACACATTCGATCAGTTCTTCAATCTTTTCCCTTAACACAACCCTCACAATTCCATAACCGTTAGTTAACCTTTAACACAAACTCCACCAATTTCAAAACGCAGCTGTCAATCTCGGCCTTATGTCTCCAGTCCGAACATATCATTCCCTTTAAACCCAATGTTCAACCAACAACCTCAAATATGAAAAACACTCCTCTGTCAAATACCAAAACCTTACCCCTTTGTTTTACATCTTCAAATTTCTCCAAAATCAACAGCAACAAATTCAAATTCATCGAAAATCCCAAACGTGAACAGAGAACAAAATAAGAAGAGGAAGATTGAGTAAAATCACAAATTGAAATTCATAAACTTGTTCAAACTGTGCGAGTTCGAGAGGGGAGTGAGAGATTGAAAACTTAGTTCGTTTTCACCAAGAATGCATGATTGCCGTGTCTGAAAATCGAGCCATGATTTCTTCCTTTTTCCTTCAGATCTGTGATAGTGAGGCAAAGGAACCGTATCCGCTCGCATACCACACCTTATATTTCCTTCAGTTTCTCTTTTTTTAATGGCGTGGAGATCTTGAGACTAAACAAATCCGAAGCTCAAAGTGACTGGACTGGATTGAGAAAGGTTAAAGGTGACGCTCTGAGGTCTTTGCTCCGCCGCGATGATAGATTAGCTCGTCTTCTCCATTTGTTTTTTTATCTACTCGTACCTTTCCATTTAGAAAAGGGGTGGATGTTTGGTTTGATTTTCTTGGAGGCGTACTGTTTCAGGTAGGTTATTGCTGAGTTCTTTTTTTTTTTTATTATTTCGTTTGGACCTGCATAGGCCCATTTAGTTTTTCTTGACGCACCCCCTTTAGATTTCGTTGGTAGCATGTTTTAGGATGGGTGATGGGCACATAAGCCCACTTGGTCCCATCACATTCCTATTCATTTTATGTACCCCATGTTTTTAAACCTCTACCTGTCCTATACCCCCCGGTTCTTGGATTTTAAATAAAAAACCTTTATTTTTTCTCACTTCTTTTTGGTCAAATTTATATTAAAGATTTTGTATATTAATCTTTTAAATACACTATTATATAGTAGTTTATATTATTTCATATTAGAATTTTAGTATTTTCTGTTAGAGCTTTATAGGTATATATTTAGATTTTTTATTCTCAGTGTTTGATTTTATTCTTCATTTGTTATTGGGAATTTCGTCTCATTTTCATTTGTTTTGGTCGATGACGAGACCTCCGTAATTCATTACCAGTCAAATTATTGATAAGTAATGTTGGATCTGAGACCACCTTTTTTCTCTCTTCGTCACCTGTCCCGACTCGATTCAAAAACATTGTCAAACCATCTTCAAAATCCAATTATCTTTGTATTGAATTAAAAAGAGGGGATTAAGTGTAGACTTTCTTCCTCTCCGAGTGTTGGGATGCCCACTGTAGTGAGGGTGGTTTCGACACTCGTCTTTCAATATGAAGACGCTTCCCATCCATTTTCAAATCTCATCTCCTTAAAATCATTTCTTTGTGTTGAGCTAAAAAAGAGGATTGGGTGTAGACCCCTTCTTCTTCGAGCGTTGGAATGCCCACTGTAGTGAGGGTGGTCTCAATGCTCGTCTGTCAATACAAAGACGCTTTCAATCCTTTCTCTCCTAAAACCTCGGTCTCGTACCGAGTCCATTTTCAAACCACAATAAATTGATTTCTCTTTGTATCGAATTAAAGAGAGAAGATTGGGTGTAGACCTCTTCTTCTTCGAATGTTGGGATGCCCACTGTAGTGAGGGTGGTCTTGATACTCGTCTTTCGATACGAAGACGCGACTTTATCCACCATTTCTCACTTTCACAACTTCCTTCCGTAACCTTTCCTACCTAAAACCTCGGTCCCGTATCGAGTGCACTTTCAAAAATCTTTTCATAACAATAAACTTGAATGGTCGTGGAGTGGTTAGGCGTAGGCCTTCTCCTATCTCGAGTGCTGACGTTTACCGTAGGGTTCTTTGTCGCAAAGCACTTACCATTCAAAACCAAAAACATCTTTAATAAGAGAATGAAGTTCTCTTTGTGTTGAACTAAAGAGAGAGGATTGCGTGTAGTCTTCTTCCTCTCCGAGTGTCAGGATATTCACTGTAGTGTGTGTGGTCTTGATACTCGTCTTTCAATACGAAGACGCCTCGTTCGCCACACCCTTTTATAACAAAAACTTTGAGACAACGAATTGGGTACTACCCGTAGGGGTTACTATCCGAGGACATGTCTCGCCCCTAAAAAACAATCAAACCAATCAAACATGACATCTTGCCTCGCGTGGCGAAAACTAATCAATCTTTCAAACAGGATATGTTACGTCCGTTCTACCGCAAACAGGTAATGCCTAAGTCTCCAACGAGCGAGCAGCAAAACACCTAACTGCTAGAATGCGCACGATAGCATCATCCATAAAAAACATCAACACACCGTAGGCACGAACTACGTCTGCTCTGATTTCTCATACCAGATGAGAATACGTAGGCACAAGACGGCGATGTCTTGGCGAGCACAATTCCCCCCTATCACCCGTAGTTTCCCGAACTACGTCGACTCTGACTTTCTCATATCTATTGAGAATACGTAGGCCTAGGACCGCGAAGTCCTACCGAGTCCTTTCTTTCCCTGTTTCTAAACCCTTCTCCCTCTTGTGGAACATTTTTTATAGCATAATATCTAAAGCAAATAGATTCACACATCGACAAACAAAAGGTTCCCATCGAGTACGATGGATGCGAGGGGTGCTAATACCTTCCCCTCGCATAACCAGCTTCCGAACCCGTTCTTGGTCGCGAGACCATCTTATCCATTTCTTTCTTAAGGTTTTCTCGATATTTTCCTTTCCCCTCATGGGATAAATAAAGTTTGGTGGCGACTCTTCTGTCTATCCTTTTCGCCTCCCCGTCGTTGCACGATGCATTTTTTCGAGTAGCGACAATCGGGAATCTGTTTGTGCCTCAGCCATGGCTAGAGGATCGTCAGGACGATGTGTTCTCTCAGAGAGGTGCTGAAGGGGAGCTGAATGCTGAAGCACGGCTTAGATTCAAGGCACTTGAAGATAAGATGAGAGATATCGAGAATCAGAATACTTTGGGCATTGATATGTCCAAGCTGGGATTAATTGCTGATTTCAAGGTACCTCCTAAGTTCAAGGTACCTGACTTCGAAAAATATAAGGGCACCACTTGCCCTCGTGTCCACCTGAGATCGTACTACAGAAAAATGTTTGCTCATTCCGATGACGAGAAGTTGCTGATGCACTTCTTTCAAGACAGCCTTTCCGGGCCATCCCTTGAGTGGTACATGAGTCTGGAGCCTACTAGTGTGCGCACATGGAAAGATCTTGCTGAGGCATTTGTGCACCACTACCAATACAATAGTGACTTGGCCCCGAACCGAGTCCAGCTGCAGAACCTGTCGCAGAGGAAAAATGAAGGGTTTAAGGAATACGCCCAGCGGTGGCGTGAGTTGGCAGCCAAGGTTCAGCCGTCGATTGTTGAACGTGAGCTCGTGCAGATGTTCGTAGCCACCCTCCCAGGGGTTTACTATGAGAAGTTAGTCAGCGGTATATCTGGGACGTTCTCAGATCTCATTATCACGGGTGAGCACGTCGAAAATGGGATCAAGATCGGGAAAATTCAAGGTGAGTCATCCTCAGCTGGGGGAGGCGGAAAGAAACCTTATGCTGGCAAAAGACGGGAAGGAGAAGCGAGCGCTGTGACCAACGCTCGAAGGAAGGGTAAAGGTCCGCAGCAGCAGGTGGCCAGTATAAATATCCCGGCAGTTCCACAGCAGCAGCAACCGAATCAACAGGGATACAGGAATTATCAGAATCGGGCACCTTTGGCGAACCGTCACTTCGAGACACCGCCCATGTCGTACGCGTAACTGTTACAGACTTTGCTTCAGCTACAGTTGATCCAGAAGAGGACGCTGGCTCCCTTGACAGGGGCACCTCCGCCAGGGTACGACGTGAATGCCACTTGTGAGTTCCACTCAGGGGCACCAGGCCACACAGTAGAGAACTGCAAAGCCTTCAAGCATAAGGTGCAGGACATGGTGGATGCCAAGATCATCAACTTCTCTGATAATGTGCCAAATGTCACGAAGAATCCTATGCCGAATC